TTTTTTTTTTTTTGTACTTATAGAAAACTTTGTAGATTAATAATAATTTTTGTTTACTTTAAAACACAGCACAAAATATAACAGTGACTAAATGAAAATCATTTTTACAAAACTTTCATTATTTCAAATAGCACAAATTCAGCGACTGACTGTACCGCAACATTTCAATGACGATTAACAAACAACACAGACAGATACATCTGACAAATATTTCTATACACTTCAAATTTTTGAACTCGCATTCAGTCAATGTTTTCATTTTCAAATAAAATCCACAGAAGTTTAGAATTCAAAAACTAATCGCTATTAGGTTATATTTTATCAAAAAAAACATTGATTATTTTATGTTCTGTTTTTTTGCATCTGATATGTAAGCAAAAAATCTGCATTTTTATTATATTATTGATGATAACTTAAATACCACTAATTACATTGAATTTCAGTGAAAATTTCTACAACTTTAATAGAAAAAAAACAAAAAAAATAAGTAAAAAAAAAAGAGTAATGTAATCATTGTAAATTTTGTTATGTCTCAAAAAAAAAAAATTGACCTTTATCTTAGATTAGAAAAAATCTTCTTACTTTTTTTTTTTTTACCTTTATACAGGGTTAAATAAGCAATCATTGATTGATAAACTGAAATGGCACCAAAATTTATGGCATAACTGACATATAATTGCTGTGTCATCGTTGAATAAATTTACATAACTTTAAAATCAGTAAATATCTGCTTTTTTTTTTTATGGTTTACTCATAGTTTGTTAGTTTAATGTCTATGATTTACTTCTTTTTCTCTGTTTACAAATTTACTATCATTGATAATGGTTGCTGTTGAATTATTGGGCAATACAGTGAACGGTTAACTTATAACTTTTGTAGTAACAACAAATATGCAAAATTATTCTCTACAATATATTTGCACAAAAATTAATTTTAAAAAGTCTAATAATTTGTACAGAAAAAAAAAAAAGTTGTAAACTTTACTAGTTTAAGCAAAACCTTATTCACCGTTGATACACTTTCAGTGATACACTGCCAAAGTTTGCTTATCAACTAACTGTACAGTTAATACACTAAATGTAAAGTTATAAAAGCTATGTGGTTAGATTTTGTACCAAAAACAAAAAAATGCCTCTATAAACGTCAAATTTGGTAGTTATCATGTTTTTTTCGATGACAAAGCTTACCAAAATGGTTTGGAACAAGAAAAGATGATTTCTCTTTTTTGTGTAACCCTTTTTAGCAATCTTTTATTCTATCAACCGGTCACCAGGCTAATATTAGTTTTACCGATGAAGAAAATACAGATCAAATAAGTAAGCTTAAAACAAAAGAAAAAAGTGCTCATTTTTTACTGATCAATTCATTTTGATGATATGACAGCGTACATTTCAATGTGATGTCAAGCAAAATTTTTGATTACATCGTTTTTTTATTTTTTTTTTTTGAAGTTTTACTGCAAAATTAACTGTTAAAATACAGTAAAGTTTTGTTAATTGACAATTTTTTAAGTGAAAAAATTTTGCTAAAAATTGGAAAATCTTCAAAAACAAATACTTCAACTGGTAGAAATAAGCAAAAAAAAAAAAAATTTCACCTATTTAAAATATTTAACCTTAGAAGAAAAAAAATTTATTATTATAAGAAAAATTTTACTGTAATTTTTTTTTTTTTTGTTTTTTAATTTGATTATTGCAATAAGTTAAATTATCGATAATTTTGCCGTGCCTTTTGCCCAATACGTGAAATAAAAAAAAAAATAGAAAATGTTTTTTTTTTGGTTATAGAAATATTACCTGGAAGATTTGCTAAAAAAAATGATACGATAAGCCGTAAAAAAAGTTAGATAAAATAAAATTTATCACTGTACACCATAAATTTATACAGGTAAACTTATGGTTACAAAATAATAGTAAAATTAATGCTTAACATTAATTGCTATACTCAGAGAACAGTTTCAATAAATTTGATTGATATCAGTGATCGGCAATTGAGTGATAGCTGTAAAATTTAAAATTTTGAAAAAAAAATTTTTGACAATTTTGCAAAAAACAAGAAAATAGTATTGAAAAAAAAAAAGAAACGGTGAAACGTTTTAATTAATATT